TAATAACAGCAACTATGATGTACGATGTTCTGCTGCTATTCATAAGGTTTTCACTGGCCAATTTTTTCAGAAGTAGACTGTCAGGTCCTTCTTTCTAATCTGTCTTAGTCTGGAAGCTCTGCTGAAAACCGTCTACCAAGGGTAACCCTGCTAGTATTTGAAATACCGGTGGCAAATCTTCCAGGATCACTGAAGAATTGATGCCTTTGAATTATGGTGTTGGCGAAGAATACTGAATGTACCATGGACTGCCAGAAGAACAAACAAATCTGTCTTGGAAGAAGTACAGCCAGAATGCCAGGATGGAGAGACTTTGTCTCACATACTTTGGACATGTTATCAGGGGGACCAGTCCCTGGAGAAGGACATCATGCTTGATGAAGTAGAGGGTCAGCGAAAAAGAGGAAGACCCTCAATGAGATGGAATGACACAGTGGCTGCAACAATGGGCTCAAGCATAACAATGATTGTGAGGATGGCACAGGACTGTGCAGTGTTTCTGTTGTACACAGGGTTGCTATGAGTTGGAACTGACTTGATGGAACCTAATAGCAACGTGATGTATGATGAGGATCACCTGAGTGGGCTCCTCTTTTTATAATAGCTTTATTGAGATATAGTCTGCAAGCTATTCAATTCATCGTGTAAAAGTGTACACTTCAATGGTAGAATATTCACAGAGTTATGGAACTGTCACCGCTATCTAATTCCAGAAAATTTTCATCACCCCAAAAAGAAACCCTATAACCACTGGGAGTCACTCCCTCTTCTCTCCTCTCCCCGTGAGCCAGGGTCTTGAACGTATTATCTTCTCTACTGTTTACAGCAATCCTGTCCAGCAGATATCACGAGTGCATTTTACTAATGAGGAAATCAAGGAAGAGAAGCCCATGGTTACTGGAGTGAGTTGAATGGTATCTGCTGGCTCCCAACAATCCTTGGCGTTCCTTGCCCTATAGATTTTTATCCACGTGTCATCTGTCTTCCCGTGTGTGACTCTGTTTCTGTGTCTGTCCTTCTTTGACAAGAAGCCACTCAGAAGGGATTAGGACTGGGACCCACACTATTTCAGTATGTCTTAACTGAAAACATTGGCTAAGGAAAAGTCTTATTTCATCAAGCACGGTCTCATTTACTGGTGGAGGGTTTAAGACCTCAATGGATCTTTCAGTTCCATTCCCAACAGTAGAGGGTAATCACGAACACTGCATCCAGTCTATACTAACTTTGGCATGAGCATCTTGGGGAGACACACAAATCAAAAACCAAAACCCATTGCCGTTGAGTTGACTCCAACTCATAGTGAGCCTATCGGACAGAGTAGAACTGTCCCACAGGGATTCCAAGGAGCTGCTGGTGAATTCGAACTGCTGACCTTTAGGTTAGCAGCTGAGCTCTTAACCACTGCACCACCAGGGCTCCAGAGAGACACACAAGATGGTACAAGATTAACTGATGGCCTGAACTTTACATTTGACTTGGAGTTATTTCAAAGTCAGGATAAACTCCACGGCTGAACTCGTTTTTATGACCCATTTTCCATGTCGCACTTCATTTCCTCCATGAAACGGCTGCTTCCTCTTCAATCCCCCGTTCCACTAGGATCTTTGTGCTTTTCTGTCCCCTTATCTTTTCCCTTCAAATGATGAAGGATGACTTGATGGTTCCCTCCTCTCTTCTCCACCCCAGGATGGACTTTGTCCTCGCCTGCCCATCTTTGATGGAGCCTGTTTGAAGCAATGCAGGATGTTTCTTCTCTCTGCTTTTTCTCTGCAGAACCATAATCTGCTGGGCTCTAATTAATGAGTCCCCTGGGACGCTCAAGACTTCTTCCACATTCCTAGATCTTAATGTGTTTTTGGAGCACACCACTGTGCATATAATTTTTAATCCCTATTTTCTTTCTCCAAGTCCACCAGGCTGGTGCTACTAACGTTCCATTTTTTCTCTGTTTCCAGACTCAATCGATTCTCCTGTCTCCGAGCAGTTGATCGAACACAGCTTTTTCTCGGGTCTGGTTCTTGCAAGAACATAAAGTTGACTACACAACTCTGGAATTTCTCTGTTGATACACGGTCTGCTGCTTTTGCAACAACACCATGAAGATCTGGGAAGTTGAAATCCTCAGGAACAACACAGCAGGGAGTGGGTGATACCCACACGCATCCCCAAGACCATTCCCCCTCAGTCTTGGTGGTTGACCCCAGACAACGCAGCACTCACGCTCTGACTTTTCCCGAAACCCTGGCCACAAGTATTTTACAGTATTCCTGTTTACCAAATTCTGGGTCTGGGTCAGGTAAGGGGGAGGGATGTACTCCAGGAACTGGAGACCAGAGGTGGACATGGAGGCTCAGACATGCTACAGCGCTGGCTCAGCGTGGCTGACCCTGCTATGTGGGGAGGGACCCGGAACCCTGGCCATTTCTGTGTCCTTGGAGGCTGCAAGAGTTTAGGCAGCATGTCCTGAACAGAGTGGTAGCAGGAAAAAGGAACAAGGACAGGGATTTGTGACCGGATGTCCCAGTCAAGGAAGAGAGAGTAGATTTGTCGTATTTGAACACTGCCCTGGAAATAGTCTACCCGGTAGTTTAGCTTCATTTTTTTTTAAACCAATTACCTAATGGTGTATGAGTTGTTTTATTTATTGTAAAAAGGAGACATTGGGGGCCCCCTGGGGACACCCCTTTTCTCCTCATTGTTGTTAGTTGCTGTTGAGTAGCTCCAACTCATGGCCACCCCAGCTACAACGGAATGAGAAGTCGCTCGATCCTGCACCATCTTCGCAATCGTTACTATGCTCAAGTCCATCCTTACGGCCCCAGTGCATTGACTGCCTCTCAAGCTAGGGGGCTCATCTTCCAGCACTATGTCAGACAATATTCTGTTGCAATCCATAGGGCAATTTTCAGTAGATCACCAGGCCTTTCTTCCTAATCTGTCTCAGTCTGGAAACTCCAGTGATACCTGTCTATCATGGGTGACCCTGCGGGTATTTGAAATACCGGTGGCATAGCTTCTGACATTATAGCAACATGCAAGCCACCGCAGTGTGACAGACGGACAGACAGGCGGTGGCTTTTCTCTTTACTCGTCAAGAATTTGACAGTCCCTACAAGGATCACCTGAAAATTATCAGACGGATCCCAAATGCCTCCATTTATGCCTGGTCTCAGTGTTGATGACTGAAAACTTCTTCAGATACACGGGGAGGCTGTTGGTGAAGGGGGCCTATTTGTTTCTGAGTATTCCCAGCCCTTGTTTATCCTTTTACGGGCAACAGTTCGCCCCGTTCGGAATGAATGAACAACGGGAGAGAAGCAAGTTCAAACAACAAGATACCTCTACTCACTTATTAGATGAGCACAACTTTAAAGTTCAGAGTGTTATATAAATGGGATACAAGTACTTTGTCGATGATTTCTTACTTCAGATGCTACCTTAACAAAGTTTAAAATTATTTAAAAATTATTTAAAAATTATCTCAACAATCAAATTTATTCAGGACATAGGTAATGACTTTCCCTTCGAACAGTAATAATGAAGACTACTTTTGTATATGCAAATCATAAAGACAGGTAAACGTATATTTAAATAGTACACAAACAGTATTAAACAGTGTAGATCTCAAAGGCGTACATACAAATGCATAAGCAGTATATTTACTGAGACCCAGCATTGTTTAGTACTCTATCAGACCATCATAGGAAAGTTCATTAGTAAAATACCTGGGTGTTTTGATATAAGTACTTTCAAAGAGTCATATATATGCAGAAATATGTGTGTGGTATGTACCTATGTGGTGCGTGAGGTGTGTGTATGTGTGGTGCGTGTGATGTTTATGTTTTTCTGGCGTGTGTGATGTGTGCGACGTGTATTTTTGTCTATGTGATTTGTACGTGTTGTGTGTACCTTGAGTTGTGTGTGTAGCATGTGCAGGGGCTGTGATACACAGAAGGCAATCCTGCTTGCTAGCTCAGGCTGGCTCGCTGCCCGCCCAGGGCCTTCTCTCTCCCCCCTCCCACAGAACCACACTCTGTGCCACGGGCTGGAGCAAAAACAGGACTCGGGAGGATGCACGCTGTTAGTTCACAAACTCTATCAATCCAGTAAAAAGCTGAGGCAGCTGGAACTTTTTCAGAAAAACTGGGTTTCCTGGGGCGCACACAAGAGGTGGCTGATGGTTAATTACGGTGATTTGGAAGGAAGGGGCTGTGAGGAAATGCCAGGCTTGGCTTGTCCACCTCTGGAAGGTACCTGCTGCTTGCATTGTTCCCAGAGCACATTAGCGGAAGGCACGACCAATCCGTGCCTACACTCAACTCACCTTGGCCACTGTTAAAATTAGTCCCTTCACTTTGTTTCCTAATGAGTAAAGGCCTTTTATAGTTTCTTGCAACTAAGGAGCTTAAATGTTAATACTTAAGTCCTACCTTTAACACTGGCAATTATTAAATATTAGAGCCACATAAAAGAAAGATGATTCTGGAATCCCTGGGAGGCTGAGACTCAGGCAGTTTGCCACAGTTGCCATTTTAGTGGCTTGCAGCCCCCCAGGCAGAGAACACGCTGGACGGGAGCTGTGAGAGAGAAACTAAGGTCCCGGCTGAGCTGCGCTCTCGCATGCTATGTTGTTAACCAAGAGGCTCCCCTATCTCACCTGGGGGCAGGTGTGCCCTGAGACCCCCCACAGTGTGCTCTCGGGGCTTTAGAAAACCACAACCAAACCTGTTGTCCTTGAGTTGATTCCAACTCACGGTGACCCCATGTTTTACAGAGTCGAGCTGCTCCACGGGGTTTTCTTGGCTGTGATCTTACGGAAGGAGATGGCTGGGCCTTTCACCCGTGGAGCTGTTGGGTGGGTTTGAACCCCCAACCTTTAAGTTAGCAGTCAAGCACAAACTGCTTGCGCCAGCCAGGGGAGGCATCAGCATCTCGGTGTGAACGGGAAAAGAAAGGGGTCTATGGTGCTCTCGCCTGACACCAGAAGGGTCGCTTACCTGAGACCAGAACAAGTGCTGAGGCTGACCGTCGATCCAGGATAACCATGCACATGTCCGTGGTAGTAACAGTGACCCTAAAAGGGAGGAGGAAACCAGGTCAGTGTCAGCATCTCCTCTTTACAATACACCAACCACCTGTAGAATTTCCTTTTGTGTGAGATATTGAACCAGCAGTTTTCATATTTAATGCCAAGCTCCACGTGACCCAGCCAGGGTCCATGGCAGAAACATCGGATTTCCTCACAGATCATCGCACGGGGTTTAAAACGCCTCCCAGCTCCATCCCGGTCTCCCCAACACCCTCCACGAGAGCCCTGGTGCAGAAGGCTTTATAAAATCCAGCAGCAGAACAAATCACACTGATATCCCCGTCTCAGCCTCCTGTAAACTGTCTTTTGTAATGAGATGTGGAACCGTACGGGGTATTTAAGCACACTGTGAAATGTAATAAAACGAGGCCCGAGTCTATGGCTCATGAAGACAGAAACGCAGATGAGAGCGAGGGGGTGAGAAGGGGGGCAGGACCGCACTGAACCGTCCAACTGAGAGCTCGAAGTCTATTTCGGCCGGAAAGAATAATAGGAAGGTCTGCTAGTACCCGAAGCCCCCAAGCCCTTCTAGTGGAAGACAGAAGTCTCTGCGTGACAAGCCTGCAATACTCTATTTCTTTAATAATGTAGCTGTTTGCAAAAAAGATCCACAGCACGGATGCATCCTTAGTTAAGACAGGAATCTGTCCAGAATCCAGGTAGTTTTATTGTTGAACAAAGGTTTTGTTACAGTCCCAGTTAAGTGGCTGCCTGGCAAGGCAGGGCTGCAGCGGCCTCAGCAGCGCTGGGTCTCTGTCCCTTTGAGTGTCAGCTGGAGCGGGGTCCCGGCAGGGAAAGGGCTGTGCCTTCCCAGGGGAAAGGGAGGGGGCACTCAGGTTTCAGCCTGTTCCGTGTGCCCCCCTCAGCACACGGCTCCTCTACTTGGACGACAGTGACTCGCCTGTTCCAGAACAGGGCCTGGTGTCCAGTTATTCTACCCAACAAAGGCAAAATTCCAAAGACCACCTTGACCTTGCTAAGAAGGACCAGATGGGATTGAGTGGCTGAGAACACCAGATACTGCCATGAGAAAGGGGTTAAGGTGATCTGAGTCATTGATTCGAGGATGAGACTTTGGGATCATCTGGAAGGACAAGAAAAGGAGGAGATGTTGAGGGCTGTAGGACAGTTAGCTGTTTTTGTCTTCATTTTCCGAGTTCTGTATTCTGGACAGAACCAGTCAGAGGCGACTCTGACTCACAACTACCCCACATGTGTCAGAATAGAACTATGTTCCACAGGGTTTTCAATGGGTGATTTTTCAAAAGTAGACTGCCAGGCCTTTCTTCCAAGGCACCTCTGGGTGGACTCAAACTTCCAACCTTTCAGTTAGCAGCCGAGCACTTAACCATTTGCACCACCCAGGGGCTCTTGCTTTATACAGGAAGTGTCTTTTCACTTTGCCCATGATGTCTTCTGTTGCACAGAAACTTCTACTTCTCATAAAGTCAAATGTATCCTTCTTTCTCTCTGTGCATTGTGTGTATTACTTAAGAAGGAGGCTTTCTTCAAGGTTGTACATATGTTCTTTACTTCTTTCTAATGCTTCTAGTACTCTTACGAGTAGCTCCTTAATCTACCTGGAATTTATTTCTGTGGGGGAGTGAGGCTGGAATCTAACTTCCCCCTCAAATCAGCACCTAAGTGTTCCACCACGATTTTTTCTTTTCTCACTGGTTGGAAATGCTACCTTGTCACATACTGAATACCTACTTATGTGTATGACTCCGTGTTTACTCCTTGGGCTACTTCCCTGAGACAATCTTCTGTTTGCCCACTCCTGTGCCAACCCAACATGGTTTTAATTATTCCTGTTCTAAACTACATCTGATATCAGGGCATGTTCTCTTTTTTATGGAGACTGAATTCATACACTATAAAAATTGTTAAGTGTACAATTCAGCGGTTTTTAGTCTAGTCACAGTGTCTTGCAACCATGCCCACTATCTAATTTCAAAACGTTTTCATCACCCCAAAAGAAACCCTGTACCTATTAGCAGTCACTTCTCATTTTCCTCTCCCCTCAGCCCCAGGCAACTGCTCATCTGCTGCTTCTATGGATTTGACTATTCTGGACGTTGCGTATAAGCAGATTCATACAATATGTGGCCATTTGCATCTGGCTCCTTTCATTTAGCGTAATGTTTTCAAGATGCATCCATGTGGTGGCACGTTATCAGTACGTCATTCCTTTTTATTGCTAAATAATATTCCATTGTGCGGATACGCCACATTCTGTTTATACACTCATCAGCTGGTGGTCATCTGGCTTGTTTCTACCTTTTGGTAGATATTTCTCTTAAAATCCTTTGCCCATTGTTTAATTGGGTTGTTTGTCTTTTTGCTGTCGAGTTACAGGAATTATTTATATAGTTGGGCGATTAAACCTTTATCAGAGACATGATTTGCAAACATTTTCTCTCATTCTGGGGGCTGTCTTTCTTCTTGTTTGTTCATCAGTTTTCTTTCCGACGACCTCCCAGGTATTCTACACCGTAAACTCTATAGTCAAAACTTCTTTTATTTGGATCTTGATTTTGTAACTTCTCTTTGTAATGGCCTAAGGAACATTCCCCTCTCCAGAAACCTTACGTGACTCTATAATATTTATTATCTCAATTTAAAAGTGAATACACTGAGCAGAGATTTTAAATCCTGTGTTGTTAGGTGCCAAGAAGTCGATGCTGACTCATTGTGACCTGATGTGACAGAGCAGAACTGCCCCATAGGGTTTTCTAGGCTATAATCTCTGCGGGAACAAATTGCCAAGTCTTCTCTCTTGTGGAGCCACCGGGTGGGTTTGAACCACCAGCCTTTCAGTTAGCAGCTGAGTGCTTAACCATTGCACCACGAGGGCTCCTTTTAAACACGTTACATAAGGCCATATAGGTACTAAGGGGAAGAGCGGGGATTGAAACGCAAGTCTGCCTGGCACCAAACACCCTCCTGTGTCCACTACACCCAGAGGCTCCAGTTAGAGAGGTCTTGTGTCTGAGTGCTGTGGCAAGAGGGGAGGCAGGTGAGCTGAAGGAACTATTTTCAGCAGACTCTGAAAGACAAGTGTGTGCTGGCTGTGTGGGTCGGCGGGAGTTGGCAGCTTCAGGAGCTTCAGGAGGCTCTACCCTTGGTACTCACGCCGATGTCACACATTGTCACAGTGTGTCTTTTTGATTTCTTGATAATGTCTTCTGAAGCACAAACATTTTAAATTTTGATGAAGTTCCATCTTTTCCTTTTCTTCAGTTGCTTGTGCTCTTGATGTTGTATCTAAGAAACAACTGCCTAATTGAAGGCCATGAAGAGTAAACTCCTGGGTTTTCTTCTAAGAGTTCTGTAGTCTTAGCTCTTACATTTATGTCTTTGATCCATTGTGAGTTAATTTTTGTATACGGTGTGAGGTAGGGAGTCTAACTTCATTTTTTTTGCATGTGGATATCCAGTTGTCTCAGGACCATTAGTTGAAAAGACTATTCTTTTCCCCCACTGAATTGTGCCCTTATTGACAACCAGTATTCTTTTGTTACTGTTCTTTTTTTCAAGTGTCTAGGCTACTATTGCCTATTTTCCCATCTAGATGAGTTTTAGAATCAAATTGTTAAAGCTCCATAATAATCCATTGAGATTTCAGCTGGGACTCCACTGAATGTATAGGTCAGTTTGAGGAGAACTTATGTTTTTACAATAAAGAGTTTTCCTACTCACGTATATGGTAGGTCTCTTTAATAAGGTTGTTTGTATGTCCTTTGGTTTGGTATTAGGGTTTTTTTTTTTTTTTCACGTGGCTATTGGAAATTTTTTTGTTAGGTTTGCTTATGCCTGGCTATTGTGTAGGTTTGCTAATAACATGAACAGACTATTTTTTCTATTGCATCTTATACATGTTGTTAGTATAAAGGAAAAGATTTTGCTTTTTTTAAAGTTGATCCTGCATCAGACCCTCTTCCTGGCCATCTTATCAGTTTATTAGTTTGTGGCATATCTTGGATTTTCTATCTCGTTGATCATATCGACTGCAAAAAATCAAAGTCTTACAGGTTTTTGTTTGGACCTTCCGTACAATGTTGAGGAAGGGGATGGCTAGGAGCCCAGTGGCGAAGGCAGGGGCAGGAATTTAAAACAGAGGGAAAGAGAAAGTGTGTGCAGAGGCAGCGTGCAATGGAAGGGGTGGGGTTCTGCTTGGTTGGAAGACTCAAGTCAGGGGTGCAGCACTGCAGGCCTTCTATTCCCCCTCTGGCGAGGCTGTGCTCTTCAGCAGACACATGGCTTCAGGAAGGATGCACCAAGGTGGGGTGGGGGTGGAAACAACGCCCAGTCAGCCACATCCACCGCACACCCAGGCCATCGGTGAGGGCAGACCTCGCTGCCTGCTTGCTCCTTAGCCTCTGTGTGAAATAAATTTTGAAAGGCTCTCTAGATCATTCCTTGGCTGGGTACTTAGAGGAGGCATGATAATAATACACTAAACACAAGGGGATCCAGCAGTTGGGTCATGATGCCCCAGGGCACAGCGACGTCCCCTCCCCAGGCTTCTGCAGCAGGGTGGGAGCGGGGGTTCAGTCCGGGGCACACGGCAGACATGGCTGTGCCAGTGCTAAAGGACATCTGGAAATTGAAACGACAAGTTCTGATGTAATAGTTCAGGCTGCCCAGGGTAACCAGATATCACTGGTTCTTGACTGTTCCAGATCTCGGGGGGCCCCATACATTACAGAATTTCCCCCCATCTTAGAGAAATGTGCAATGTTACTATAGACAGCAAAATACTGGCTAAAAACTGAAAGAAGCACATGGTGACGATAATCTTAATTACTGACCTCTGAAGTTCCAAACTCATTTATTCTCAATCTCAATTTATTTTTTAATAGATGATTTATCAAATGTTCTTTCAAATTAAATACCCAGAAATACAAGCTCATTAAAGCATGAGCTGAGAACAAATTAGAATAAAATTAATTTCCAACTCAACAACTTGGCTGAAGTATTGC